GAGTATTGATAAAAAAAAAAGAGGAACCAATTTCAATACTCGGTCGAGTATGTACAGAAAGACGAAATCAAAGGGAGCCTGCCTCCTATACCCTATCGAGTATCTACCCATACTCGGTCGAGTATCACTGGAAAAGCCATTTTTGCACCCCCTGTCTCCAGCACCCGATCGAGTATAGGGTGATAACCGATCGGGTACCCCTGCGGTTTATACCCATAAAACACCCCAACCCACTTCATCTTCTCCAAAAATCATCCCAAACTTTAAACCCCTTTCCCCCAAACTCCATTTTTCTACCTTCTCTCTACCATATCTCCTTCACTTCTCCACCAAATCACTCATACAACAACCAATACACTCTCCTCACTTTTCTCTACAATCCAATACCCAAAAATCCTCATATTTTTTTTTCCATTCAAAAAAAAAAAATTGAAACCCTACTCCCTACCCTCAAGTTCGAAACCCAAGACCCAAAAACAACATTCAATGACACATAAGAAGGTGAGGGCCGAAAGTATAAATGCAAAGGGACAACGAGGATGTCCGTTTCAACCCGGGTATAACGAAGACAAGCACTAGGGACAGTGCTTCGAGCTAAGTGAGGGGGAGTCACTCATTGGAACATACTTAATTTTCTACCTTGTAACTTGCATTATTTTCTTCACACAAAAAAAAATAGAAAAAGAAATGTTAGTTAGGTTGAAAACCCAAAAACGGGCAATCTAAGCAAAAAGGGCTTCAAAAAAAAAAAAGAGTGAGTGGAAAGGATGAAAAAAAAAAAGAGATGCTAGGATGAAAACCAGAGAAGGCTCCTAGGCAAAATGAGAGATATGAGAGAAAATTTGTTTTTGCAGAACATCATTTAATCTCTTTAAACAATGAAAAGAGGAGAAGAAGAAAAAGAAAAAAAAAAAGCAAGAAGATGGAGCATAGAAGATCACAAAACCCAAGAAAGAATTTTGTTTTTGGAATTGAAACTCATTTTTTTCCTTGGTGATCTTAGTTTCTTCCTTTCTTGAACTCTTGAAAAACTCTCAAACTGTTTGGATGTTTCTAGTTTACTCGAGGTCGAGTAAAGGACTAAGTGTGGGGGAGTTGATACACTTGTAATTTCCGTGTGTATGTTTATGTTTTTAGCTAGTTTTAATTGTTTAATATTTCGGAAATTACACACTTTTGGTGTAATAGTTATGTTTGTAAAATAGTTGTAATATGTTTAGATTAGGTCCATTCTGAGTTTAAACAGGTCCAAGATCAATCCAATGATCATTGGTGAAGGAAGGTGCAAGAGTACAAGACAAAAAGAAGGCAAAATCCTGATTTTTGACCTATACTCGATCGAGTATAGCATATACTCGATCGAGTATCTTGTTGAGATTTCAAATCGGATCGGATCTGAAAACAAAGGAACATGCAGGGAAGATTTTGACCACGATCGAGTGTCGATACTCGATCGAGTACACCGACATACTCGATCGGGTATGACTATAAATTATACTCTGAATTCGGTCGAGTATGGGTCGAATTCAAGTTTCTACTCATACTCGATCGAGTATATATACATACTCGATCGAGTATGCCTTTAATTTTAAACCTGAAATCGATCGAGTATACCTCGAATTTGCATTTCTACACATACTCGACCGAGTATCTTTATATACTCGATCGAGTACCCGAGCTGCACTCCCAAAAAGCCTATAAATACACCCTCTTTCCTTCACAATAAAATCACCAATTCACATATACTTCTTAACTCAGTTTAGATTAGTGTTTTCTTTATATTTTCTATCATGTTTAGTCTCCAAATGAGGAGCTAAACTCTTCCATCTTGGTTTTGCTACTTTGAAGCTTAATGAATTTGTAAGTTGTGAGTTATTATCCTTAATCTTCTTCCTTGAATATTAATTCTTCCTTTAAATACTATTTCTATATCAATGTTGGGGAGTGTTACTAAGATGACAATTAGTTAACATCTTGACATTAGTTATAATAATAGTTATTTCTTCCTCTACGTTAATATCGGGGAGTGTTACTAAGATGACAATTAGTTAACATCTTGATATTAACTATAGTAAGATTCATCTTCTTTAATATTCTTTCTTGAGTATTAATTAATTCCTATTCAGATTTCATATTAATATTTTGAACATTAAAGGATCAACTAGTTTTGTTTCATATATTAATTAATACTAGAATCGGTCGATTAATACGCTTGTTATTAATTCGGTCCTTTCATGGTAGTAAACTTGGATTATTAATGCATGCATCTCATGGTTAATAATCTAAGGGGAATTAATTATATTGATTAAACCAATAAACCGCTTGTGTTGAGGTTATCAATCTCAATCGTTTTCATCTTAAGTTTATTGCTACTATCAAGTTAATATACGGCGCTTGTTCTATATTGACTCAATAGTAAGTTTTATTAATGAACGCTTCTCGTTATTAATAACTACCCTCGATGAACTGGATATACTCCTCGATTGAGTATTCGAGAGGAAGATAGTTAAAGATATAACCGGGATCGACGAACATTTCATTAAGTGGATAAAAGCAAAGCCAAGTCTTCTTCTTATTAATTAAACCACATAACTCGTTCATCTTCGTGTTTAACTATAATTTAAGTTCATTTACTCAATCTAAACCCCTCCTTGTTACTAGTTTATAAAGAGAAAAATATTCCTTTCCCTGTGGATACGAACCTTACTTCGTTATACTACGTATAAGTGTTGTATTGATATTTATTTTGAGTGCATCTCACGACAAGTGCACGTCATTGTGCAAATTACACACTTTTGGTGTAATACTTTATTTTCATAATTATTTGTAAATTGTTTAGATTAGGACTTTTCTGAGGTAAACAGGCCCAAGATCATCCAAGGGAGCAAGATTGGACCTTAAAAGATCAAGGAAAGTGCAAGGAGGAAGGAATAATTTCGATTTGGAAAAATACTCATGTACCCGGTTGAGTATTGCCTATACCCGATCGGGTATTTGCTTGATTCGATTGTCCAAATCAAATCCGAGAACAAATGATCGTGGGAGCAGATTTTCGTGAAGATTTTGTCAAATACCCGATCGGGTATATACCCTTACCCGATCGGGTATGCCCAGAAAAGTGACTTTCTGGGCAATTTCCTAAGATACCTGGTCGGGTATCCTATATCCCGGTCAGGTATCAGACACTGCAACTCTCAAAAGCCTATAATTTTCTAAGCTCAATTTAGACAAGTTATTTTTTTATATTTTCTTCATGTTTAGTCTCCAAATGAGGAACTAAACTCTTCTATCTTGGTTTTGCTACTTTGAAGCTTAATGAATTGTAAGTTGTGATTTACTATCTATTTTTCTTTAATCTTCTTCCTTGAATATTAATTAATTCCTATTCCTATTTCATATTAATATTTTGAGCATTCCTTAAAAGATCAACTAGTTTTGTTTCATATATTAATTATTACTAGAATTGATTGATTAATACGTTTGTTATTAATTTGGTCCTTTCACGGTAATAAACTTTGGGTTATTAATGCATGCGTCTCATGGTTAATAAACCAAAGGGAATTAATTATATTGATTAAATCAATAAACTGCTTGTGTTGAGGTTATCAATCTCAATCGTTTTCGTCTTGATTTTATTGCTACCATCGGGTTAATATAAGGCGCGTGTTCTATATTAACTCGGTAGTTAGTTTTATTAATGAACGCGTCTCGTTATTAATAACTACCCTCGATGAATTGGATATACTCCTCGATTGAGTATTCGAGAGGAAGATAGTTAAAGATATAATCGGGATCGACGAAGTGTTCATCTTAGTGTTAATTAAATTTAATCAAATCAAACTTAAAATCCCCTTTATTTGTTTCCCTGTGAATACGAACCTTACTTCAATATACTACGTATAATTGTTGTATTGATAATTATTTTGAGTGCAGACGACAAAGTGCACGTCAACAGCTCTCATCTGTGTCTCTATTAGCTACCGCCCATGCCGTCATCTTTTTCAGGCATAGGGAGCAGCTTGAGAAGCAGAGGTATTTCCAGAGCATTTAAAGGCACGCCCATTTGTCCCTCCTTCTCTACCGGAAAATAGAGTAAAGCCAAAAGAAAAGGAAAAAAGTGATTCAAAGAGTACAGCTACGAAGTGGTTCACTCTTCATCTCATCTGCTTCACGTAATAATTAATTGCTTATCACTATGAATAATAATGATCCATATTGAGAAGTAGAAGTATTTCCAGAGCATTATTCAAAGGCAATGCCATTAACTTGAAGGAACGATGGCTCAAAAATGTCTGATGCGCAGTATATTGCAACCTATGCTTTGAATTTATATTAGGTTTAGGATTTAGACGAGGATATATTGTCAATTTAACTGAAAACACTTCCGTTACTAACGTTTCATTTTTTGACTCTCCCAACAAGGTAAGTTTATATTCTACACTTGCACTTATTTTCCCTTCCGAACCTATGTCAACACTTCGTAACACTTCCATTACCAACACTCTGTCCAAACAGGCCATAACTAGGTTGACCCTGTTATTTATAACATGCTCCATGAGGATCCTGGGAATGTTAGCTACTCTGGTGTAGGTGGTTTGTCTGATCAAATTCTGGAACTTAGGGAATCTATTGAGTTACCTCTTACGAATTTTGAGCTGTTCCTTAGAGTTGGAATCAAGCCTCAGAAGGGTGTACTTCTGTATGGGCCTCCTGGCACTGGGAAGACATTGCTAGCTAGAGCTATTGCTAGCAATATAGACGCCAACTTTTTTAAGGTTGTTTCTAGTGCTATTATTGATATAAGTTCATTGGGGAGAATGCAGACTTCGGCAAAGATTAAGCACAAAGCTGCTGCTTCATCAAAAGAGCAATTAGTTATGAACTTATGATGCTATGATATCTTCCTGCGCATGGAGATACTTTGCTGTTCTATTTGTTCTATAAAAACATTTGTATTGATATTTTTTTAAATATGAGCAACGGTTAATGTCTCAAAAAAAAAATCGAAATTAATGTTTTATTGATGGTTTTTAATTTTGAATTTCAGGCACACGATTACATGAGAAATAAACCTTAATAAATAAGAACTACAAGTATAAAAGTATATGAAGTGCATGCTAAACTAATTTATCAATTAGGAGGTGGATCAACTAAAGAGCGAAGGCAGAAAGAGATGAAGGATGTATATAGGGATAATGAGCTGTACACTCAGGGCCAATGCTCAGAATGTTGAATCCATCCCACTCGGTGGTAACCGGTCGTCCATGATATGGCAGGGATTGAACGGCTTTGGTGTCCACATCGTAAAGAAATAACCTCCCTGATTCTTCCCTCCGGATCAGGGCAGCCGGAGTCTTCTTATTATTCACCGGAACCAAGCCATTCAGGATTATATGCCCTCCGCTCCTCATCCTCGATGAGGTCACCAAGGCTGTGTCATTCCCCCAGAGCGATTCAACACTGATACTGTACTCTGACACCCACCCTCGACTCCCCTTCGGGAAGCTGAAAACTCTCATTGTTTTGAAATCATCAACGACTGTGAACCATAAAACGTCACCATTCTCTGATCTTGTAATAGCACTCGAGCATAGGGAATTATTTCCAAATCCATCGTAGCTCCGGATATCGAAGACCGCTTCACTGTCGGGGCGGTAAAGCGCCAGTGTTAGTATGCCCGTGTTTCCGGAGTAGTGGTACCAGTGGAAAACACCATTCATCACTAAAGGAGGATCTCTTAACAAACAAGAGTAGACATCTTCTTTTATGGCGGCGGTGGAGGCGATCACCGGCCGTTTGGCTGCTATCCAAGCCCCTGTCTCGGAAGAGTAAGTCGCGATCTGTATAGTACCCTTTTCCCTTTCACAGATGACTTGACAATGAATCTGGACGATGATGTACTTGGCTGACAGTTGGTTTTTGTTCTCTTCGCACATTAACCCGATGGATCTGCCTGTACGACTGGACGGCGGCGGCGGCAAGGAGACCGACCTTTTTGTAACAGGCAGGGGAGGATCTATGTTAGGGCTATGGTGGGCTGAAGCCCAGGGCAAAGTAAAAAAAATTATTATTTTTAAGGTATTATGTTTAAAAAATTGCATCCAGCCCATCCCAAATTTTTCTATAGCCCAATCCAATTTCTCAGCCCAGTCCATAATACAAAATCTTAACACCTGAAAATCTAATCTAAATGTTATACACATCACCCTCATACTTAATAATTGGCACTTAGTATATACATATAAGGACTTTATTGACATGTTCACAACAACTTTTAAAGTGCTTGAGTATCTTCAAAAACATTGCCCAAAAGTGAGTTCTTGGGCATAAGTTCGTAGTGTACATAAACACTTTTCATGTTTTGAATTTGTGATCCTTTACTTTTTTTTTACTCCAAGGGGGTCTGGGGGAAGGGGGGCTGTGGGGAGCCTGGAGTAATCAGGGTTGAAACTCACTCCATTGAGTTTCGCACCCTTGTGTGCCTAGCGGATTTCGAACTCGAGACCTCCCACTAGACACGGTAATCTCACAATCAGCTGGGCTGGAATGCTTGGTTATGGAAATAATGAATTATGTCAAGGTCTTCGAATTTTTTTATTTGATATCTTGTTAGCCATGAGAGACATTTTTCCATTACACAACCGATCATTCTAGAGGAATTGACAAAAAACGGATGGGAAGGCTTTCTTGAAGAAGTAAAGGAGTTTTGCTCAAAACATGAAATTCATGTACCGAAGTTGAATTTTGAATATACGGTTGGTCATTGCAGAAAGAAACTACAGTTGAACATCATTATCACTTTGGTGTTTTCAATGAGGCAATAGACTTTGTATTGATGGAGTTAAGGACCCGATTTAATGATAAATCGGTAAAACTCCTTTCTTTGAGTGCTTCATTGGATCCCAAAAATTTATATGGGTCATCCAATGTCGATGTTATTTGTACTCTTGCAAGGAATTTCTATCCCGAAAATTTTAGTAGTCAGGACATTCATGCTTTGGAATTCGAGCTGCAACACTATGTTCATGATGTATTCATGTACAAAGTTTTAGTATCTACATTTGTTGAATTATGTGAGGAGTTGACTAAGAGCATAAAATCTGATTCATATGTTATGATGAGTAGATTGATTTTCCTTTTATTGAACTTAGTGTTCTTTTGCAAAATTAGAACGCTCGTTTTATGCCATGAAACTTCTAAAGGCCGCACTCCTCAACAAAATGGATAATGACTTTATACTGAAAAAGACATTACTCTTAGTATAAATGTAGACTCTATTGTTGATTGGTTCGTTTTGTTTCAAAGCCTCGTTGAGAACAAATTTAATGGAGAACTCTTATATTCGATTTTTTGTTTATTTTGAAAATTTTCAATGTATTATTATTTAAGTGTTTCAGCCCAGCCCAACATGAAATCCTGGATCCGCCCCTGGTAACAGGGTTCAGGACGAGGTATTCCTGCTTATCCGAACAACCCTTGCTGCAAAGAATCAAACCGTTAGAGCTATTTATGAACTTGACTGGTTCTCGAAACATGCCGCGTACTTCAAAATCTAGAGAATGGTATTCAACCGATTTCTTGGGCTTCTTTGAATTGGAGAAAATGCAGGGGCAATATACTCGGAATAAGGATAACAAACCAACGCCGTCCGGCCGCCGTTGCAGGCTGTCGTATTTCTTGATGAAATAGGGATGCGAAATCAACTCGTTCCATGATTTTGATACCGCCCGGAATCTGTAAACCGATTTTGGCGGCAAACGGACTAGAATTTCCGCAATTATTTGATCATTCATGACTTACAATACGCATGTACAGCTAGTCCGTGTATATATAAGGGCAGTCGTATGAAGATGTTTCCAAATAGGCAAATATGGATAACCTGACTCCATATTCTAGGAGGAAACAGATTGTATATTTGCAGTTCAAAGTTAATAACACATATACGGCGTAATAGTAAGGGAAATTGCTTCTTTCCAAAAAAATATAAGGGAAATTGCTTAACCACGAGTCATCAAATTTTGGAATTTCAAAATATGATTTCTATATTTCTCTTCCCGTAATAAAAGTCGTTACCGCTATGATTGAAAAATACTGATAAGATTAAAAAATAATGTCATTAATGATATTAAATACTGTCATGTGGAATATCTAATATTGCAATTATTAGACTGTAATGCCTACAAGATGACAATCAATACTCTCATGTTACTCTTATTTCAGTAAAAAAAATATAGCAGTCATATTTTAGAATTCGAAATTCCATTTACTCTTGTTTCGATCAGGAACTTTGACTAATAATAATAATGGCATAACATTAAAATTAATGGAATATATATGAATAAAGTAAAGGTAGTTAAAAAAACTGACTTTTATATTCTCGTGATTATAATAGTGACTTCAATAATTACTTCATTCGTCCTATAAAATTTGATCGTATTGTTTTTTCTTGGTTAATGGGGATCAAGTTTGATCAATGATATCTTTTGATACGAAACTATTTAACATATGACAATTATATGAAAATAAACTTTGATAAAAGTAATTTTATCAAAGTACAAACTTTATAATTTACACTATTATAACTAAAATTATTGTCCAAAGTTTATTATCATTAATCTAGAAAAATCAATTTTGCCAACTTTTATGGCATAAAGATAAAATGATTGTATTCATTTATTTGTTGTAGTGATCATGATAATATACACATTGTCATTTCAATTGTATTTTTGTGCATGTGATTTTGTAGCAATATTTAAGGATAAACCTTGTTTTCTCATTTTTTATTTACTAGATATATTTTCCATAAATATACTCGAAAAAATGGAACCTATATTGCTTATAGTGTTTAATCCTATTTTTTCGGTAAGAAAAACATAACAATCTTATTTTGGAATTTCAAACATTTTTTACAGTGTAAAGTAAAGGTAGTTGAAAAAAGTGACTTTTATATTTTCGTGATCGATTATATTAGTTACTTCAATAATTACTTCATCCTTCCCACAAAACTTATTTATAGTGTTTCTAATTAAAAAAAATATGACTATCTCTCATTTTTTATAAAAGTGACTTAAAATATACTCCGTAATTATTGAATTGTTATTTAATTTCGTTTTGAAAGTTGTCGTGAAATGTCAGATTTATCTCTTAATCTCTCTTGGTTATTACTACTTAAGGGATTGTTTACTTTCAATTTAATGGACATATCGAAATGATGACTTAATCATTCAGCCATTAGGTCATGTTTACTTATGACTTAATTGGAAGCATGGCTTCATCATTCAGCAAAAAACTGACTTAATCATTAAATCAAAGTATAGTTACTCTATTTAAGACTAAAAATACGGAGTACAGTAATTAGAATTTGCTCTATTTAAGACTAAAAATAACTAAAAATGCACAAATAAGACAACAATATTTTTTACCATCCAAAATAGGACTAAACAATTCATTCCTACCAGAAATGCCCCTAAGGGTATTATTTCATAATAACATGTTATAATTAATAATGAAATCTTAAAAAATAATAAAAAATCATAAAAAAAAAATTATAAAAACAAATATTTAAAACAAAAGAATTTAAAAAATTTGATTTTTTTTAATAAAATTAAAAAAATAGTAAAAATCCATAAACAAATTTAAAAAAATATGGATACCTGTCCCACTGCCTCCCAGCACCACGACCATCGATCGGTAAACATTCTGCCACTTTTTAAAAAAAATTCCATTTTTCCCGAAAATGCCAAGAAAATGGCATAATTACTGTTCATAATGCCAAATTCTTGTTGAATTTGACATTATTATGGCATTTCTAGAATTTTTGGCATATTTTTTTTCTGAAAGAATTAATGAAAATTTGTAAAAACCCATATAAAATAAATGGATAACTCTGATTGGTGAAAATTCTGCCATTATTTGTAAAAAAATGTCATTGTTTTCTGAAAATGTAAAGAAAATGGCATTATTACTCATCATAATGCCAAAATTATCATTTATTCTGCAATTATTTTGGCACTACTACATATTTCGGCAGATTTTTTAATTTTTTATTTATTTAAATATTAATTTTGTTATAACATTTCATAATTTTTTAAATAATGTTTTAACGTTTTTTATCGTTTTTATGAATTTATTATTAATTAAGACATTTCAAAAGCCTCAAGGATATATTTGTCCAAATATACATAAATAATCCTAAGGGAAATAAAAAACATGTAGTCCTATTTGTGCTCTTGGGTCACTTTTTTTTTACCTATATAGAGAACTAGCTTTCAAGCCCGTGCGATGCACGGGCAATATGTAATTTAGTTAATTTGAAATTTGATTTCTTCCGGATCATATGTAATGTGATTTAAAAGAAAAATAGACTTAGTCTAATTTATAGTCTGTTTGATAATACTATGATAGATCGAATTAACTTATTTTACTGAAATTGATTAAATCTTGGCTGAATGGGCTGAATGAAAAAATATGTAAAATATATTCCATTTATGAAGTCAAGAAAAGATTATATGAAAAATAGTTAAATTGATCTTCTACATAAGCATCTCAAGTAAATATAATTGTTCTCAACCCGATTTTATAGAATTCATAATCTCACGTCCTCTAAATTACTTTATTATGCACCTCAAATTTTTATCTTCTACTATTTCACATTCAACTTGATGTAGAATACTGAGTGCATACTTTTAACTTTTAATAATAAGATGTTACATTTTACTCATTATTTTGTCACACCGTAAATGTAACAAAATGGAGTTTTTTGTTAACATTTTACTCATTACTTCGTTACATTGAAAACAATACTTTATTTTATTAACATCTAAATTACTTTATTGAGCATTTCAAAGAAAATAATTTTCTAGTATTTCTCATTCAACTTGGTATGAAATATACATTTTAACATTTTAGTTGTGAGATCTTACATTTTACTCATTAATAAGGACTTTTTTAATTGAATTAAAATTTTGGGTTTGATTTGGTATGAATTAATATGGTCTGGTAGATGTTTGTTTTACATTTTATGTGACTTATTATTACTACTATTATTG